GGGAGAGAGGAGGAGAGGGGTAGGGGGAAGGGTAAGAGAGGTAGACGGGTGGGGAGTACTGCAGCTGTTGTGCTGGACCTACTACTGCTAGGTGCTGCATTGCTTGCTGCTGTTGCAGGACTGCAAGAGCTAGCGGGGGCAGATCTTGGTGTAGTACTGTGTAAGTTTGACAAAGGCTTCGAAGGCCTCTGGCTCCCTTGTTAGTACTGCAGTGTACGCTAGGCCATCGGCCTGGCTAGACGGCGGTATTGGTGGTTGAAGTGGCCATCTGCTAAAGGTCCCTAGGGTCTTGCGGCAAAGCGCAAGGTGCAATGTTGAAGCTGGTGTAGCCCTGATACCTGAAAGCCACCTTCGACACCGCTATGTTCGATCGATGCTGGAACTGCTGGAAGGAAGATCGCTCGCTCGGTGTTCTCAGATGTGGGAAAGGACGCGTAGTGAACGCCGTTCTTACACCATCCATCTGGCACACTGCTCTCACATACGGTGCATTGCAGGCCAAACGAACCTCCACTAGAGATCCCTTGCGTCTACTGGGATTTAATGTGTAGTATTACTTTAACAGGAGGCCTTATACGTAGCAATACAAGGCCTACCTATTGGTTATGTGGTTGTTCCTTGGGGAAAGTAGTGTACTATCCCTTACTGCGTAGCGAGAACCACACCATAGCGAGAAAATCAATAGGTACTTAGACTTTGCACTTGAAGAATTCATGCATACATTAACTTAATTAAACTCTTCTGCTTATATTACATACTGTAGGTCGTCCCTAAGTATCTAACAATTACTGCCTAGAAAATTACATCCTTGCTGTTGCGATCGCAGCTTAAGTTACAATAGCCTTGTTTTATAGCTAAGTAGAAGATACCTATCACAGCGCTAAAACGAAGCCTGCTGTCAGATGCTCGTACTGTGAGCCAGAGTATGTGCTTAACGAGATCTTAGGTGGTATGATGATTTATTGATGATCGTGGCGATGGTGTTTCTGGTGCGCGTCGTGCTAATTGCTACAGGATTGAAGTGGGGGGGAATTAGCGCTGTTCGCGGCCGCCTGTGTGCGGGCCAATCAGGAGTTGCCAGGTCTCGCTTAATCGACCTAGCAACTGCTAATTGGCTGCGCGACAGGTCCCTGCTCAATTGCGCAGATCTAACCTCTTGCTACTTGCTCTTATCTAACACACCCCCTTTAGCTTAGAAACTCTTTAAGCTAACTATTTATGTGTGTGCAAGGTCCTTAATTTATTCTTAAATTATATCTAGAGGCACACTGTTTAGTACTTCTATTAACTCCCTATTTACTAGACTAAGTTGCTAGAGGAAACCTTCCTACTTGTTTACTAGGAGTACCTTTGTAAGTCTGTCTGCTATTATGCTTGCAGACTAGACATGTTCTATAATAATCTTTCTAGTAGCTACCTCCTGTTAGAGCTAGTAGTTGTAGATATCTACTAGGCTGGCGGATGGGTAGGGTATGCTTTTTTACGTTTTGGCTTATAGCTTCTTAACTAGCAGAGATACGCTTACATAATCTATTATTCGATAGAATTGCCTAGTATTGCGCCTTCTAATAAAAAAAGAATTAGCTAATTCTGCCTAGTATTAGCTAAGTTATTAACACTACCTAGCAAAGTATACCTAT